GGGCGGGGGGCCTCGGGGTACGCAGCCTCGAGGCGGGCATCGGGGGACTATAGGCATGCTACCTCGAATTGGGGGGGGGCTTTGGTGGACTACCTTTCAGCTCGTGGTTGAAGGCCTCTTGTCGGCCTCGGTACCGAAGGGTGGTCAAGGAAGGGGACTTCAGGCTTGGAGGCCTCCAATTCCTGAGGCACTCAAGGCCTCGTGGCATGGGGCCTAAAGAGTTTTATTTTCGATAAATTCTTTTATCATATAGTGTGGTACATGTAGATCATCTCATAAAAATATGGAGGACCCTCAATTGGTTGTTTAACAAGAATCATTTATGTTCCAAAATATCTCTATTGTATTCAAACGAGGCTATCGTCGAAGCACGAATAAGAATTTACTATTATTGTGGTTTAGGAAATAATATATCCTTTGTTACATCAATTTATGGATGGGTTTAACAACTATCTCTGTAGAAGATTTGAGTATTTGCCATCATTAGAGGAGCTACAAGGCAAAGGGCTGATGTATCTGTCAAAGTAGGGGAAATAAATGCTCTTGTAGCCTATAAGAGGAATTTAAAAGGAAAGCACAAACAAAGGTGCTTTTGTCAATGTTGATGTATTTGGATTTCTTTTGTCATTTGATGTACTTATTCTCGCTTCTCCTTTTCTCTGTACATACTCAAATGTGAATGATTGGAGTAAAGGCATGGAAATATGTTAGTTTACTGACCATGTGATTTAGAGCCCGTTTGGATTGACTTAAAAAAGTAACTTTTAAAAAGTAATTTTTAAAGTGCTGGAACTTATTTTTAAAATAAGTAGTTATGTGTTTGGATAAAAGTGCTGCAGTTGAAAAAAAAGTTGTTGATGTGTTTGGCAAATAAGTGTTGGTAAACACTTTTTTTTTAATCAAAATGTCTGAAATACACTTAAAGCTGTTAACATGATAAAAAGTTGATTAATTTAAGGTTTTATACTTAAAAAAATAAAACATAATAATAATAATAATATTAATAATAATAATAAGAATAATAATTAAATATAATAATTAATAATAATAAACATAATAATAATGAATAATAATAATAATAATAAACATAATAATAAGAATAAGAATAATAATAATAATAATAATAAACATTATACATAATAATAATAATAATAAACATAATAATAATAATTAATATAATAATAATAATAATAAACATAATAATAAACATAAACATAATAATAATAATAATAAGCATAATAATAATAAGAAGAATAATAATAATAAGAATAATAAGAATAATAATAATAATAAAATAATAATAATAAACATAATAATAATAATAATAATAAACATAATAATAATAATAATATTGATAATAATAATAATATAGTAATAATAAGAAGAAGAAGAAGAAGAAGAAGAAGAAGACAAAGAAGAAGTTAGAGTTAGTTCAATATGGGCAATTTGGGAATTGTATAAAAGAATTAAGGGCAAAAAGGTAATATACTTGGTCAACATAAAAGGGCTTTTAAGTTAAAAAAAAGAAAAGCACCCCTCACCTAGCTTTTAGCTTTTGGCTTAAAATAAGTCATTTTTGACTTAAAATAAGTCACTTTGATAATTGCCAAACACTATAATAAGTCAAAAACTGACTTTTAAGTGAGTTGACCAGCTTAAAAGCCCATGCAAACATGCTCTTACTACTATCCAGCCTCCTTCTCCTTTTTAGCCTCCTTCTCTTGATATCATGTGTTAGTTCCGTTGGCTTTGAATTAAATATAAAATTCTACATGCCAAAATGGTGGTATCTGCAACCTTTTGACAATACCAGTAATTCAACTGATCTAAGCGAGCCTGAGTTGTCTGGTCTTCTGCATTTGCTCACTGCACTTGTCTTGTATGGTTAGTTAATTATCAGATCCCTCTATGATGATGAAACAGGAACTCTTGCTCAAGCTCGTACTTTAAACTTAAATGAGGAGCTGGGGCAGATTGATAACTTGATACAATCCTCTCAGACAAAACTGGCACTTTAACGTGCAATCGAATGGACTTCCTGAAATGCTCTATTGCTGGTCTTCAGTATGGAACACGTGCTAGTAATGTAGAACTTGCAGCTACAAAGCAGTCGGCAGAGACATGGCCGAGTGGACAACAATTTGTTTTCCCCAGTTCAAATTCGGACGTGGGTGGGAAAGATAATTAAACCTTCACAGACAACTGATGGTGGAAATGTAGCAGTCCAATTAGAGACAGTCGCCACCTCTAAGATGAAAGAAACCTCAAACTAGCAATAAATGGGGTTCAGCTTTGAGGATAGCTGCCTTATTAAGGGATGTTGGATGGAAGAACCAAATCCAGATGTCATTTTGCTTTTCTATAGGATACTTGCAATTTTTTATGCTGCTGTTCTCGAGCAAAATGAGGAGACTTGAGGCCTTAATTATGAATCAGAGTCTCCAGATGAAGTATCATTTCTTGTTGCAGCAAGAGAATTCAGTTGAGTTTTTCAAAAGAACTTAATCAAATGTTTTTGCAAGATCATGGTAAGATCAAAGTTTCAAACCTCCAAAATTTACTCCCAAGAATTGCATTTCATTAACTTCGGGGAATACAAAATTCTAATCATTTGGACTTCACCAGCAAGAGGAAGCAAATGTCTGTTACTATTTAGCATGAAACTGGCCAGATTCTTCGCTTGCTTGTGTTATTTGTTAAGTTTATTAATGTGGCCTATGAATACCTGTCTTGTTCAAATTTTAAAGTAAATGTTGTCTATTTAAAATATGCAGCATTATCTATGACAGATTAGCAAAGAAAATAGCTGAAGTTCTATATATTTGTATTTTAGGTACTTTGCCTCAAGTTCGGACAAAAAATGGATGAATATCACCCATATATAACGTTGTGCTTCAGGTGGCTTCAAGAGAGCCAAGAAAATACTAACATGATAGAAGATGAAGTGTCGTTGAAAAGTTGGGAGGGGTGAAAAGGTTTGCTGTTTCTGCAAGTTTGATATTTAGTTGTATTGACATATGGCTTCAAATGTAGATCAGAAATTGAAATAGACTAGTTGATTTTCTTTCAAGTGAAGGGTTCAAGAGAAGAAAAAGGATAAAAAGAAAATTTCCAGTCACAAACACGCAAGTGTTTATATGTATTCAACAATTTGTACTTTCATTTAGTTTTGTAGACGTTCGGTAAAAGAAAGAAAAGAAAAGAGTTGGTTTTCCTTTTTACTATAAATGAACTTCTATCAAATTTAGAAACTTAAATATACTTATCGAACCCTCAATATTTAAAACATGTGATGTAACACTTTAATAATGGATACTATGAATGATTTGAGCTCATGTAATTTAAGAGATGAAAATATCACCTGCTTGCATTCATTACTAAAACGACTGTTTTAAACTGCAACAATATGAGTTTAATTCAATCAATTGTTATTCCTTTTTTAGATTCTTAATTTTAATCCATTTCTACACATGTTTAATGCTCAAAGCTTAATTATTATTTACTCTCCAATAGTATTGACACAAACATACCAGAAAGATTACTGAAACAAACCATTCATCATTTGATTGATTACAAAATTACATAAGGAATAGATGTTTTACATTCATATTTTAAGGAATAATGTTTTACATCCATTTCAAGAAAATTAACCATATCATATTATAGAAATAATATTCGATGAGGACTCACGTGATCTATTTTTTGGCTCTTAGGTGAATGAATGGATGCCACTTCCTTGCAATAAATGTCATGAGTGTACCCTTTGGGAGATGCTACGAGGATGAGTGGCACAAACTCTCTTCACAGTAAGTGTCATGAGTGTACTGAATCTTGCAAGAGCTCCTCCATGGCGAATAACTCCGTTGAGATTTGAGGTAAACTCAAATCAGAGACAATAAAGTGGGAAGTCAAGCTCGGCCTTCACTACTCTGATCACCAAAACCATGTATGCATAAGACTAATCAGAAGGCGTAAAGACAACGTCAACTACTACAACAACTACTAATGCCTAATCTAAGGCTCAAACTATCAGACTCAAGTTTGCTACTCCACTCTATTAGGATCTAACTCATCCGAACGACGTTGGCAGAAAGTCAAGGCTATCCAGCCCACACGGGTCATAAGTCTAAGGCAATGCTAGCTTAACCTAGACTAAGGACATCATGCATACGGTTAAGGATGAACAAGGCATGCAACACATAGCATTTAACACATAAGCATGTAACTCTACTAAACCGGTTAACATGATACTATACCCAAATATGGCCAATCAATCCTAACATGAGGTATCTAATCAAAGTAAGGTAGGAAACTGGTACCCACCCCCAATTCACTCTAATCGACATGCTTTTCCACAATTAAGCTCAGTTTAAAAGAAAGGAATTCGTAGCCTACTTTAAGGCTGACCGCACGCGCTCCAAATCACTTTACCGGAGCTTTTCCTTCCCGAACGACCCTTGAACGCTGTCACTCTATCAAATATAGGATAACAAAATTAGTACGGTCGTTTAGACACCAAAATCACAACAAACGGAGACGGGTCAATTTTGGAGTCACAATGGAAATCATGGGACTCGCACCGAATTGTCTGAAATTGACTCCATCAAGAGACCCTAAGCAGCGCCCCGAACTTGTGTTCCAAAATGGAACACAATTCGAGGCTTAAAACACAGCAAAACCCAACAAGCAAGAAAACCACACTTTAATCAACTTAAAAGAAAACAACAACAGTCTAAACTCGAAATTAACAAAAATCAAAAATTTCCCAGCACTTCCTGAACACTCTACGAGGTAGCCACGATGATTCCCAACAAGTGGGACTTCGAATCACCCAAAACCGAGCTAAAATGAGTGAGATATGACTAAAACAAGAATGCCAAAAACAAAGGCTCGAAAATGGGTACAACAGTCAGGTTAATCACGAAATTACCTCGAACTACACGCACCCGACAACTTCTGAAAACTCTACAGCGAAGCCACCGAATATACGAAGCTCCCGCACTTCAAATCACCTAAATCGGTTGAGAGATGAGAGAGAGATGAGGGTTTTAAGTTTGGAAAAGTTGGCTGATATATCTGCATTTATAGCAGATATTTCTGTAATTTTTTTCCAAAACATAAAAACTCCGAAGGGGTGCTCCGAACTCGTTCGGAACCCCGTGCACGTAAACGAGTAATGCAACCATACCAAATTTGATATTCCGGACTCAATGACGCAGTCGAAATTTCCATACGAGGTCATCTTGACAAAAAGTGGGTCCCATACCCAAATGTCATTTTAAGTCAAAAACCATAAAAGGGCTCAGAAAAATATCGAAAACCTCGGGACACAAAAGAAGGGTCAATCTAGACCAAACTTGACATTCCGGAGCTAACCGCACTGACGGAATTCTCATCCGAGCGCGTTTACTCAGAATGTTGAATAAAGTCAAACTTAGGCTTAAACTTAAAGTTAAAAACGCCTAAATCGCATCGACTCACACTGAAAACCTCGGGAGTCATGCCAACCATGCTACTAGCCTAAAATGACCCTTCCAGAGCTGATGGACACGTCAAAATTGGATTATGATGTCATCTTCTTGAACTTTTAATCGAAAATGATCGTTCAAGGTTCATAAGCTCCAAAAAAACTAAAACTCGCACAAAAGCCAAACGAACGACCAGGTGACCGAACTGTCAGTCCCAGAAAGTCATAAATGACTTGGGGTCGCTATAGGAACGCTCTAAACGACCCACAGAAGGCAAATCACAGAAATGACCAGAAGGGTCATTACAATATCCACTACTGAAAAGGACTTTCGTCCGCGAAAGTAATGGTCAAGAAGTACCTGAAGGCTTAAACAAGCCGAGAAACTGCTCTCGCATCTCCTGCTCGGTCACCCAGGTAGCCTCCTCGACTGGACGATGCCTCCAATGGACCTTAACAACATGAATGGCTCTCATGTGTAATCTCTTCACATCTCTGGCAAGAATGGCAAATGGCTCATCAACAAATGTCAAACGGTCATCCAACTCGACTGCATCATACTGGAGCACATGAGACTCATTAGGAACATACCGCCGCAACATTGAGACATGGAAAACTGGGTGGATGGCTGAAAATACTAGAGGTAGGGCCAACTCATAAGCAACCTCCCCAACTGTTCTGAGTATTTCAAAAGGTCCAATGTACCTGGGGCTAAGCATGCCCCGCCTCCCAAACAACATTGAGACATGGAAAACTGGGTGGATGGCTGAAAATACTAGAGGTAGGGCCAACTCATAAGCAACCTCCCCAACTGTTCTGAGTATTTCAAAAGGTCCAATGTACCTGGGGCTAAGCATGCCCCGCCTCCCAAACCTCATCACGCCCTTCATGGGTGACACACAGAGGAATACCCGATCACCAACAGAGAATCTCAAAGGCCGATGCCTCCGATCCGCATAACTCTGGTGCCTACTCTGAGGCGTCCTGAGTCTATCCTGAATCACTCTCACCTGGTCCAAAGCCTCCTGAATCAAATTCGTTCCCCGCGACCTAGGCTCTAAAGACTCAAACCAACCCCCGGAGAGCGACAACACCTACCATACAATGCCTTGAATGGGGCCATCTGAATGTTAGAATGGTAGCTGTTGTTATTCGCAAACTCCGCCAAAGGCAAGAACTAGTCCCAATGACCATCAAACTCCAACACACAAGCCCGCAACATGTCCTCAAGGACCTGAATAGTACGCTCCGACTGACCATCAGTCTGCGGGTGGAAAGCTGTGCTAAGGTCAACCCGAGTGCCCAACTCATCCTGAAAAGTCCTCCAAAAGCTAGACGTGAACTGAGAACCTCGATCTGATTTAATAGAAACTGGCACCCCATGAAGTCGAACCACCTCCCGAATGTAGATACGAGCCAACCTCTCGGCGCTAAATGAAGACTGAACAGGAAAGAAATGTGCTGACTTGGTCAATCGATCAACAATGACCTAAATGCTATCAACACCTCTAGAAGTTCGCAGTAGGCTAGCCACAAAATCCATAGTAATGCGATCCCACTTCCACTCCGAAATGGGTAATCTCTGAAACTCACCACCAGGCCTCAAATACTCGGCCTTTACCTACTGGCAGCACAAGCAATGGGAAACAAAGTCAATAATATCTCTCTTCATGCCACTCCACCAGTAATGCTGCCTCAAATCACAATACATCTTTGTTGTGCCCGGATGAATAGAGTATCTAGACTCATGACCCTCAGAAAGTATCAACTGTATCAAATCCCCAACTCTCGGAACACAGATGCGGCCGGCGAATCTCAACACTCCATTAGAATCTAAGGTAGCCTGACCACCATCACCCGCTAATACTCGATCTCTAAGGGCCACCAAGGCCTCATCCTCAAACTGACAACCACGGATCCTATCAAGCAAAGAAAACTGAACTCCCATATAGGCCAAGACACGTCTAGAATGTGAGATATCCAACCAAACCATACTATTAGCTAAGAACTGAATGTCCAAAGACAAGGGTCGCTCCTCCACAGATAAGAAGGCTAGACTACCCATACTCACCGCCTTCCGGCTCAAGGCGTCCGCTACCACATTTGCCTTGTCTGGATGATAGAGAATAGAGAGGTCGTAGTCCTTCAGGAGCTCAATCTAGCGACGCTGCCTCGAATTAAGGTCCCTCTGGCTCATGATGTACTAAAGAATCCTATGATTGGTATAGATCTCACATCGAACTCCATACATGTAGTGCCTTCAAATATTAAGCGCGAAAACTACCGTCGCCAACTCAAAGTCATGAGTGGGATAGTTGCGCTCATAGACCTTAAGCTGCCTCGACGAATAAGCAATAACCCGGCCCTGCTGCATCAATACACAACCCAAACCAACGTCGGATACGTCACAATAAATCGTGAAGCCCTCGCCCTCAACTGGAAGAGTCAATATAGGAGCGGTGGTCAATAACTCCTTGAGCCTCAAAAAGTTCTCCTCACACTCCTCTGACCAAATAAAGGGAACATCAACATGAGTCAACCGGGTCAGAGGTGCTGCCAATGTAGAGAAACCCTCCACAAATCGTCTG